GCCAAAAGCCACTGGGTTTAGAGATCTGCTCCTGAGTCTCTGGGATCATGACCGTTGAGCAGCTTGATGAGGAGCCAAAGAGGCCATTCATGGGCGATGACTTGGGGTCTCATTGGGGTGGGGAAGACAGGCCCGGCTCCAACTCCCCCCCCCATCCCGTGAGACCCAACAAGTTTTGTCACTGCGGGCCCAAGCCTGACTGTCCAATGGCCTCTGGAGAATGACAGCCACCAAGTCGCCAAGAGGGAGCAGGTGTTGGGACAGCACCCATTCCCCCCGGGGTGGCCCGGTGACAGTAACCTGCTGCGGGGTCCGGACACATTTCTGACAAAAGCTGCTGGGTTTCGAGATTTGTTTCTGAGTCTCTGGGATCATGGCCGTTAAGCAGCTTGATCAGGAGCCAGAGAGGCCATTCGTGGGCGATGACTTGAGGTCACGTTGGGGTGGGGAGGACAAGCCCGGCTCCACCCTCATCCCGTGAGGCCCTGTGTGTCTCATCACTGGGGGCCCAAATGTGACTATCCAGTGGCCTCAGACGGATGGCGGCCACTGGGCCGGCGAGGGGAACAGACCAAGGCACGAAACCTATTCCCACCTGGGTTGGCCCAGCACCGGTAGCCTACTGCAGAGACCAGACGCATTTCTACCTAAAGCCACTGGGTTCTGAGATTCGTTTCTGAGTCTCTAGGATCATGTCCATTAAGCAGTTCAATCAGGAACCAAAGAGGCCTTGCCTCCAATTATATAGCTGAGCCGGAGGTGGTTTGTGGGTGTGTCTCCCACATACCTGACTTTTGGCCGTTTACTTTCTTGGTAAACTTTGCCCCAAGTTTTTGGGGTCTTGCCAAAGGCACAGCAGCAATTTTGGGGTATCTGGAAGTCTGAAGGCGCCATGAGGCTGCTGATGCACTCGCCTCACAAGTACAGATTGACCTGCTGGCGGCACCATACCCCCCATTTTCTCATTTTAAAATGGAAAAATCTGGGGACCGGAGTGATAGCACAGCGGGTAGGGCGTTTGCCTTGCACGCGGCCGACCTGGGTTCAATCCCCGGCATCCCATATGGTCCCCCAAGCACCGCCAGGAGTAATTCCTGAGTGCAGAGCCAGGAATAACCCCTGAGCATCGCTGGGTGTGACCCAAAAAGCAAAAAATAAAATAAAATGGAAAAATCTCAGATCGCTCCACCTGATGGTATTGTTTTGAAAACCCGTTGGGATTGCGTTTTGCGAGGAGTGTCTTAATGTTTGATTTGGGGGCCATACTCAGCAATTCCCAGGGCTTACTCCTGGCTCTGTGTTCAGGGATGACAAGTGGCGGTGCACTGAAGAACAAGTGTGGTGTTGAAGATCCAACTGGAATGCATACAAGGCAAATGCCTTCACCCCTGTACAGTCTCTCTTCTCTCTGGCCCTGTGATAAGTGTTTTATAACTCCTAGGGGCCACACAAAACAATGTTTCTTTTACATATGGGACTAGGAAACATTCTGTAGTGCCTCATACCTACACTCTACAACTAAGCTGCAGATCTGGCCACCATAGTAACAACTTTTTTGGAATATACCTCACATGCAGTAACATTCACCCTTTAGTTAAGTATACATTTCAGTGTTTTTTTTTTTAAAGTGCATTTAACCATCATTACTAATTTCAGAACTTTTCATCACCTCAAAAAGGAAACCTCTACTCCCCTCTCCTTTCATCTCTTGGCAAGCGCTAATCTAATTTTGGTTTCCGTGGATTTGCGTACTCTGGACATTCTATATAAATGGAAGCATACAAGACGTCATTGTTGGTTTTTAAGTAGGGGTGTAACATAGATTTGCATTTTACAAAGAGCATGCAGGCGGGAATGAGAAAGGCGAGTTATGCAGATCTAGTCTGGAAAATCAGAGATCGGGGCGAGGAGTATTGAGGAGGATCCAAACTATGACAGCAAGAAGGAGGGTGAAGAGAGAGGGACCTACCTGAAAAACATTCTGAAGCTAAAACTGTGTGGAGTCTACGGGATGGATCCCAGTTTCTAGCTTAACAAACTGGGTAGAAAATGAAAGTACCAGTGATCAAAATTCTACTAGCATTTTCACTTTAGGGAGTAAAAGATGAGTTCAGGCCTACATATATGAAGTTCAACAAGTGATCAGTAGATGTTCAGAAACAAACTGAATTTACAGATCTGAAGCTTGAGGGAAAAGATCAGGACTGAGGGCACCCATTTGGGAGTCATCAGGACAGAAATAGTAATTAGATCAGAAATGTGGGAAAGGCTTCAAAATAGAGCACAAGAAATGTGTAGGAATGAAATCCTCATCCTTTTGGGATAGGAATTGTTTGGGAATCTGCAGATTAGCCAACAGTAAAGAAGGAAATCCAGAATGTATTGTAGAAACTAAGAAAGAAGAATCAAAAAGGAGCAGGAATAGCCTCCAATAGCTGCCGTGGTAGCTTCACAATCACATTACTTAATCCCTAGAGTCCCAGTACTAAATGAGCCCTGAGTGCAGAGTCAGGAATAAGTTCTGAGCACTCTGGTTATGGCCTCTCCCTTCATTCCCATCCCCCGCCCAAAAAAAAGATAAAAGATAAAAGTGCCTTAACTATCTCTCTTGCTCCACCCCTGATTTATCATCACAGATGCAGACTACTACAACCTGGCGTCTTTGGTTTTAAATATCCTGTCTTTGTCTTTGGTTCCAATGCCAGGCTCTTGGCATTGGAGAAGCTTTAAGAGGGGTAGAAGTCACATTCCAGCCCAGGGGCAGTTGGACAATGCAGCCTGGCCCCTTGACCTAGGTCCCTGGTCCCTAGGTCAATAGGTCCCTCCTTAGCTGATTCCCAGCAATTTAGAGACACTATTATGAAACCGGCAGGCTACCAAATGTAACCTGCCCACACGGCAGAGTCTGGCAAACTCCCCGTGGCGTACCCAATATGCCAAATACAAGTAACAAATGATGGGTCTCATTCTCCTAAAGAGCCTTGAATATGACACTTTCTTAAAAATCTCAGGGCTAGGACGAAGGAAACGTTACTGGGGCCTGCTCGAAGCAATCGATGAATAACAGGATGGTCGTGATGATCGTGATTATGAAACTACTTATTCCTGGGTGGGTGGTTTACAGTGAGTGAACAGTTGCTCCCCATGAAGCTGAAATGGAACCTGAATGGCTCTGATATAGCCGTGCCCTTTGGCCGTGTTCTTGTCCTTACCACTGTTCCCAAGTGAACTCAACTAAGTTGTGTCTGAGGACTAAAAAGCAAATAATAGACCTAAAGACTGAACCTTGGAGACAGGAGCCCGAGTTGTTAGTGAAATAGGAGGAGGGGAGAAAATAGGTGACAGATCTGCGCTGCCAGGGCCTCACAGACCAGTGCCCTCTTCGCATGGGCTTTGGCTGTGTAATAGGCAAGCTGGCCTGGTGCCCGTCTCCTCACAGTCAGGGAGCTGGGGGGGGGAACTGAGCCAACAGGGTGAGTGGGGAAGGGCCGTGACCAGGACAAGCACCAGGAGTCAGTCAGTGACTGGGATCCCAGGTCAGGGTCAGTAGATGTGAGGAAATTAGGCTCCTTCCAGCTCAGGGAGAGAGAAGAGAATGACCACGTCAAGGCCAGAGTTAGGAACTGATTTATACCTGAAGGCGTAGAAGCAGAGGTGATTTGGCAAAGCCCTGGCAACTGGATACCAGCACTGGTGAGGAGGGAGAGCTGGTGTGGGTCAGATAGGGCCTTGCTGGCCCCAGAAATTTCTCTCTGAGCCAAGGATACCTACTGTCTGCTGTCTCTGGAGGAAGAGGGGTGGTGAGTGCCACCCAGCTGGGGAAGGGCTATTTTGAATGCAGCTCTTGGGAGAGAGCATATTGCTGCTTTGTGTTTCTTTACGAGTCACTTAGGTTCAGATCCTTTCTCTGGGGACAGAGCAGTTGCTCAGCAAACATGTCCCGAGTTTCTGTCAGGAACCGAGTACTCTGAGGAAGGAAGACCCAAACCAGAATTTGGCCCTGACAAGCTCATGGCTTCTCTACTAGCCTGTAAGAGGAAGTAGAGAAATTAAATAGGTTGAGATGAGAAGAGAAATGAAAGTGAAAGCTAGAGGGGTCAGCTGAAAAGGTAGCTTTCCATAAAACATGTTTTCTGAGATGAGAGAGAGAGAGAGAGAGAGAGAGAGAGAGAGAGAGAGAGAATGAGAGAGAGAATGAATCAGGAAAACATTCCAAATGGAATGGTATTTACAAAGGCAAAGATGTTAAAAAGAGGCCTGGGATTCAATTGCTGGCACCACATGGCCTTTTGAGCACCACTGGAAGAAATTTCCTTCCCCCTCATCGAGCAGAGCCAGGAGTCACCCCTGAGCTGTTGTCAGTTGTCGCTCCAAAATAAAAAAGACCTCCAAGATCCAGCTTGACTGTGACAAGTTCGTATGAAGATGTATTCTGAGAGAGACCAAGACCAGGACCAGCTGGGAGGGTGTCAGCTGACTGGTCAGAGTCTATAATTCGTATCATAGATGCAATACCAAGAGGAGTTGGATTTAGATTCTGTGAACAGTGAACGTTAACACAAATGGGCATTTGTCCTGTACTGATGTTGGCATGGTCAGGTGCTGACTTTTTGGGTCTCTGCATCTTGTAGAAAAAAGGAAAATCAGTAGCCTGAAGTCCATCCGTGTGTGGGTAGATAAAACATTCTATCAGAAGCTCCAAGAGGATAAGAGTTTCTGTTCATTGAGGTTATCTCTGCCACTTAAAAACATGCCCAGTACATAGAAAGCAAAGATAAATATTTGTGTTTGGAGCATGAAATATATTCTAGGAGAGCCACCCAAGAACTAAGCCTAATTCATTTCATACAGCTGTCAGTGTTGACTCTTACACTGGGGGCGGGTCAAGAGTATGGCTCACTGGGGAGCAGAGAACAGGATTCCCGGTGGCAAAGGGGTGGATAACTGATTGACTGGTCCCGATTTCTGAGCCGTATCGTTTTCTTCTTTGGGAACCCCAGAACTGCCTGATAAAGAAGGATGAAAATGGCTACTCTGCGGTAGTAGCTGACTTTGGCCTGGCTGAGAAGATCCCTGATGTCAGGTGGGTAGCCCTGCTAGGCGCTAGGGTCCTAGCAGAGATTAAGGCATAGAAAGCCTCTGCTACTTGCCCAGTCACCAGGGGCTGGTGATAGTTCAGCCCCAGCTCCCTGAATTTGGCCAGTCCTAATGTGTACTTGCCCTGGAGGGAGAGGAACTCCCAAGGTCAGAGAGCTCACTCATTTTTTCATATAATCCCACTCCACAGCACAAGGAGTGAGAAGCTGGCAGTGGTGGGCTCACCCTTCTGGATGGCACCGGAGGTTCTCCGAGATGAGCCCTACAATGAGAAGGTGAGTCTGGCTCCCCACACAGTGGGTTCTTAGAATGCACACTGAGCAATCAGCGTCTGCGATGAGCTTTATGTTAGGGATCAACAGCCTTCCTGCTGGAAAGGCAGGGACCTGGCAGCTGCCCACTGAATGAACAGAATAAATGGGCAGTAGAGGGCAGTGCTGGGCTGGTGAACAGGCGTGCAGAAACTGCCCTTTCATCCCACTGAGGGGAACTGAAGTCTTGCTATCCACCAGGCAGATGTCTTCTCTTATGGTATCATCCTCTGTGAGATCATCGCCCGCATCCAGGCTGATCCGGATTATCTACCCCGTACAGAGGTGAGCTGTCAGCGTGGGGATCAGTGCCACTGGGCTGAGACTGCTTTGAGGCAATGGAACTATTTTGGTTTTGGTGTGAGCTTGATGGAACTGGGTATATGCGGATGGTTCTAAGTGGTGGTTCCCAGCCTCCTCTCCTGAGCAGGCCACACTAGGGAATGGCTGATGACTCGTTTACTCATGTCCCATTTCTTCCACAGAACTTCGGACTAGACTATGATGCTTTCCAGCACATGGTGGGAGACTGTCCCTCAGACTTTCTGCAACTCACCTTCGACTGCTGTAATGTGAGTGTCTCTTTCACCCCTAATTGACTAGGAGCTGGCTGAATCCTTTCTACAGGGTTAGGACTGTAGGGAGAGGCCACTAAAAGCTTCACAAGAAGCTTATTTCACCATTGATTTGCAATGCATATTTCCCCTCCATTGGGCCTGCCAGGCTCTCTATAGCCCTGGTGCATGGAGAGGAAAATGCCTTTGTATTATCCAGTTCTGAGCCTGGAGTCTGAAGCCTGAAGTTCTGATAGATCCCAAGTCAGGTTTTAGCTAGACTGTGGATAAAGCAGGTCCCAAGGCCTGTGGGAAAGGTTCTTGCTAAACTTCATTTTATATCTCAGGTCTGGACATTTATCACACACAGGAGGTTCTTTGGCTTGGCTCAGGTTTCCCAAAACATGTGAGCTGCAGATCTTGAAGATAATAAACACATACGAGGCTATGGGCTAGAGCGATAGCACAGTGGGTAGAGCGTTTGCCTTGCACGTGGTCTACCTGGGTTTGATTCCTCCGCCCCTCTCGGAGAGCCCGGCAAGCTACCAAGAGTATCTCGCCTGCACGGCCAAGCCTGGCAAGCTACCTGTGATGTTTTCGATATGCCAAACACAGTAACAACAAGTCTCACAATGGAGACGTTATTGGGCCCACTCAAGCAAATCGATGAACAATGGGAGGACAGTGCTACAGTGCCACGAGGCTATGCCTTTAAGGGATAAGACGCACTGAGGTGGGGCTTGAGTGATAGTACAGTGGGTATAGCGCTTGCCTCACACGTGGCAAACCCCGGCTCGATTCCTAGTAACTCATATGGATCCCTTGCGCAACACCAGGAGTGATTCCTGAGTGCAAAACCAGGAGTAACCCCTGAGCATCACCAAGTGTGACCCAAATAAAAAATAAAATAAAAAGACACAGACTGAGAGCTCAGTGCGCTGGGCTTATGCTTTGCTGGCTGGAGGCCTGGGTTCAACTTCTAGCACCTCATGGCCAGTAGTGGCTCTGAATACTCCTGGGTGTGCCCCCTCCAACCCCCCCCCCCAAATATCCACAAACAAAAGATACATTGGAAGGATGTTGAAATTAAAGACATCTTCCCAATCCTTGGCTTTGGGAATCGCTTCTTGGCCTGGGAACAGAAATAAACTCAAAGGCCATCCTGAGGGTGGAAGAAAGGAGGATGCCAGGCTAATAGCTGGTGTGGATGCCTACAGATGGATCCCAAACTGCGCCCATCATTTGTGGACATCGAGAAGATTCTGGAGGAAATTCTGAGACGCCTAAAGGAAGAAGAGCTGGAGGACAGAAAGCTGCAGCCCACTGCGAAGGGTAAGCTAGACCGTGTTCAGCTTCGCCTCAGGGAGGAAATTAGGGCCAGTGTCCTCTTTGAGGGCTGGGCTTGTAGGATCCAGTGACCAGAAGTGAGGGGAAGGGGCAGGGGGTAATGGGAAAAGTACAAGGCTCTATGGGTTGTGACTTGAGTTGCTCCCTTGAGTCGTTCCTCACTGGTGAAATAGGGACAGTGACCTCTACTTTGGTGCATTAAAATATTTTATGGTGTTGGGACCAGAGCATTCTTATAGCAGGCAGGGCACTTAGCTTGCATGGGGCCGACCCGCATTCGAGTCCCAGCTCCCATATGGTCCCCTTGCACCGCCAGGAGTGATCCCTGAGTGCAGAGCCAGAAGTTAGTTCTGAACAGAACTAGGAGTAAGCCTTGTAACCCTGCTGAATGTGGCCCAAAACAAACCAAAAATCGTGGTGCAAAGTACAGCTTCTGTCTGATAAAACTGGGGAGAATATCACTGACTTGACACACTATTCCTTAGGACTCTTGGAGAAAGGAGTTGGGGTGAAGCGACTGAACTCACTGGATGACAAGATCCCTCCCAAGTCCCCACGCCCAAGACGTACCATCTGGCTGTCACGAAGTCAATCAGACATCTTCTCCCATAAGCCCCCATACACAGTGAATGTCTCAGACCCCTATTACCAGCCACAACGAGGTGGTACTGCCCGCACCCACAAAGTCAACCCTTTCATTGCTCGTCAGGACCTCAAGGGAGGCAAGACCAAGCTCTTTGACCTTCCTAGCAAGTCTGTCATCTCCTTGGTGTTTGACCTGAATGCACCAGGACCTGGAAATATGCCCCTGGCTGACTGGCAAGAGCCCTTGGCCCCATCTGCTCGCCGGTGGCATTCTTTGCCCGGCTCACCAGAGTTCTTGCATAACGAGGCCTGTCCATTTGTGGGCCAAGAAGAATCATCTGATGGGCCCCCACCACTCCTCAACAGTCTCAAGTATCGTGTGAGAGAGATTCCCCCATTTCGAGCATCTGCCCAACCAGCTGCTCCCACTGAGGCCATGGACTGCTCCAGTCCCCAGGAAGAAAACGGTTTGGGGCCCAGGCCCCAGAGGGCAAATCCATGCCTTCAAGATGCCTCTGAGGAGATGGAGGTAGAAGAAAAGCCCAGAGGCCTGGCTCCGCTCCCATTCTCTCTCTCTTAGGCTTAAGTCTAAATATGCAAGAAGATCAGGATGGGTAAGACAGCCTTGTTCCCATCAACCCCTTCAGCTGAAGCCACAGGGGCCCCAGGGTACACAGAGCAACCAAGCCAGGCTCAATTATGGGTTTCTAATGCCCCACGGCTGTGTATAAGGGAGGCAGCAGTCGAGAACACCTTCCTAACTGGGGCCAATAGCTGGTACCAAGTGTATGAAATCCAGCAAGAACTGGCTTACACCTGAGCCCCCAGTGCACTTCCCAGACAGGACCAGAGAACTCCTAGTTCTAGTTTGTGCTGGCAGGCAGCTGTTACCCCAGGTTCTTCTACCCCAGGTCTATCTCTTGCCCTTTCCGAGGGCAGATAAGCTACCGGATGGAATCTGGAGTTGACCAGGAGGCCATAAAGGATCGGTTATTTCTCGGACCTTAAGACCGGGGTGCTTCTTGCCAGTATATCTAAGACACTTGAATACTTGCTGTTTGCACTGACTGCACGGTCAGACCACATCACTACATTTCTATGCAAGGGGAGGGTAAGGCAGTGTGGTCGTCCTGGCTCTTAGCTAACCTGGTCAAAGATCCTTTCCAGTTGATTAATCTATTTTCATATTTATGAAGGCGTCTTAATGTTCTGCCCTGTAAGACTTTCAACTTTGTGGTTGGAAGTGGGGCTGGTTTTGCAGACCCTTGGTCTGCTCTATGTATTTGTCTAATGTGTGAAACATCCAATTGGTTAAATAGTTTCTATATGGGCAGATTTTCTTCCCTTCCTGCTATATGGCTGGAGCTATGGGAAGATTTATTCTTATAGTCGCAATAAGAAATAACCAAAGATGAAGCTGGTCAAATATTTTCATAACTTGTTTCTGTTGATTTTTTTTTTTTTGTAAAACTTTCCCAAGATACTTTCTGATTAAAAAATAAATAAAGATGGTGTTACAGGTCTTGGTTATCTTCTTGTGTCCTTGTAATTCGGCTTGCAAGAAGTCCAGGAACGATGCTTTAAGGATGGTTCCCAACCTTCACACCAACTCTAATAGTCAGGAGAGAGCAGCAAAGGGATACAGGTCCCTCGGTTCCACTCTCAGCTTCTCTTCCTGGGCCCCGAGTACTTGGCAGAAGCTGGGTTAGCTGCTGCCCCAAGCCAGCTTCATCTTCTGGTTGTGAGCTTTTGAGGAACGGGAGAACTGACTCTTGGCCACCGTGAGGGGTACAGCTTTACCACTCAGATACACCTTATTGTGGCATTCTGGTAGCCACGGTCCAGAGCTACTGGGCTGGACTCCTTGGTTCACGCCCATGTAGGCCATCACAAAACCTGTCATAAAGGCATCAAAACCAGCCCGATGCAGTCCATCCCCAGGCACTGGGTTAGGACCGGCCTGACTTGCGGGTATTTCGGGGGTAACCAGATCAGCCGTTTCTGGTTTTGTTGCCGTAAGCCCCATCTCTAAGTCATTTTTGGGAGCTTGCTCAGAGTCAGTCTGTTCGCTGGTCTCTTCCTCGGCTGCCTCCTCCTCAGTCTCCCTGACCCTGAGGTCATCCCCACAGACTTGCTTTGTGGGAGGACCATCCTCAGCCCCTCCAGACGTCTGTTTTCCAGGCAGTCCCAACAAAGCCCTCCTCCGTTTTTCTCTACGTCGCCGTCGCCGCCGCTTGTCCTCCACCACAGCCTCATCAGTGTCAATGATAAGGTCAATATCGTGAGATCGAGGACACTGTGGTCCCAGGGGGCACCAGCCATAGGCCTAGGAGCAAGACAGAAGCTTAGAGGTTCCAAAGCATCAGGCGTAGGCGTCTCCCAAAGGAAACAAAGGACAGGGGCGGGAAACAAGCACAAGTGCCCTCACCGAGAAGTTATCACAGATGTTGGTGGAATGAGGACGGTGACTGGTGGGGGGCACGCAGCAGCGGTAGTCGATATGCGCCCTCATGCTAGCAGGATAGCTGCAGAACTCCAGGATGAGATGTGGGCTGCCGGCTGCCCGCTGTTTCCCATTTTCCCGCTCACTGCAGCGATTCAAGGGGGAATTACTTCGTGAGCAGGGGTTTTAGTTTTAGGTCTTTTGTTTGTTGCTGAATCCTCAGCACCTAAAACAGCGCCGAGCACAGGGGAGGTGCTCAAGAAACATCTTCAGCGAATGAATGAAGTAGTCCCACCCTTTTCCCTCAACCAATTCCTTACCACTTCCGGAAGGCATATTCTAGGTAGGAGGCCACGAAGCGGGCATGAAATTCAGCTGCATATTTGGTGTCATAAATGCCAGCCGGGAACATTTCACACAGGTCAGCAGTGAAGGTCCCCAGGGTCTCAGGCAAGTGCGCATAGAAGTTCTGGTACAGGAACACCAAATCTATGAGACCATTGTGGAGCACCAGGGGCCGCCGGGCCCGGATGAGCTCCAGGAACAGAGTCCTCACTGACTGGCTCTGGCTCTCATCACCCTGTGTGGAAAGAAAGGGTCACTGGGAAGCACAGAGCCCTCCCAGAGAGCCTAGAGGCCCTGCCCCTGCCCCCCCAGTTGGAAAGCTGTCCCTCTGCCGAAGCCTGACAGCAGTCTTGTTTCCCCAGTCCTGTCACTAGTGATTCCCCAGACTTCCTGAGGAATAGATTCTCCCTGTCTGCTCAGCTTGGGAGGAAGAAATGAAGCCACAGAGGTGTCTCAGGGATGACACCAACCTTGTCATTGCCCTTGTGGTAGGGGATGCCTTGAGCATACTGACGGTTGAAGTTGAAGCCATGCTGTACCAGGAACTGCACGGACTTTGGCTCTATGACATATTCCTCCATGCACAGCAGGGTCAGGTTGAACACCTGGACCAGGTACGAGTGTTCCTCCTGGGAATGGAAAAGGGTCTGTCACATCACCCCCACACCTGATCTCAACCCTCGCCCCGGGAGTCAAAGACCCAGACACCAACCTTGTCTGGCTGCTGCTTGAAGCAGGCGAAACCCAGGGAGAGGACAGAACGGGTTCTGGCAGCATGACACACGGCCTTGTAACGATCTTCGATGCACCTTGGGGTCGGGTTTGGGAGAAGCTATAAGTGGGTGCCTAGGAGGACCCAAACCACCAAGGATCGTGGCCTCCAGACCAGAGCTGAGACCTGGCTGTCATGCCCAGGGTGGGACTAAAGAGGAAAGGGCTGGGTGCTGGTATGATAGTAAAGTGGGTAGGTGCTTGCCTTGCATGCAGCCAACCAGGGTTTGATCCCCAGCATCCCATATGGTACCCCAAGCCCAGCCAGAACTGATCCCTGAGCACAGAACCAGGGCTAAGTCCTGAACACCACCAACCCCAAATGAAAAAAAAAAAAAAACAAGGAAAAAAGGGAGAGAGAGAAAAGGACTTATACTTACTGGTTCAGCAAACTTTTCCTGTCCCCAAGCCCGCTCAGTTCCTAAGGACGGGGGAAGGGAGTGTTTAGGTCCCAGGCACCAGCCCTTCCAAACCTCTTGCCCTCCTGATTCCCCGACCCTCACCGTGTCCACAGCCACAAAGCTGGCAGTCTTGATGGCCAGCAGGAGGGACGGCCACATTTCCTTGAAGTTGTCACTTTGCACGTCCACCACAGGCACCTGGACTACTAGCTCCTCTCCAGATTTGGTGCTTTGGCTGATACCTCCTGGTGACAAGGAAGCCGACAGATGTCAATACTAAGGCACCAGTCAGAGGAACATAAGCAAGGCCATAATTGGGACCCTGAGGGTAGTTTGAACCGAGACGCGAGACGGCGGCCTTCCCCTCAAACCAGTGGATCTCACAGCACTACTACAAGTCTTAGAGTGAAGAGTGTTCTGAATTTGGGGAGAGGAAATAGGGGCCTTCCACTTGCTTCTGTGAGATTTCGGGGAAATTACACCCCTCTCAGCATCTGCAGAAGACAGAGTGATCTAGATTACAGCTGACCGTCCTTCTCCCCTTGTTCTGCAAGAATTATTTTGCAGTGCTCGAAGACAGGTTCCCCGAACATACTCCACCAGGATCCATGCTATTATCACCGTGGTGTTTCAGCGGCCACGAGACGCAATGCCAGGATATGCTCCAGCACCTGATAAACAATGCTCCGCTCCAAAGCTCCCAATACCTCCCACTTCTTGGGGATCAAAACGCCCAATCGCCCCCAACAGAGTCAGGACTACACCTCCCGATATGCCCTTGCCCACCTATTTTTTTTATCCCTTTTTCCTAATTTACTAATTTAATTGAGATGTTCTGTACCAGGATTTCTTTTTTATTTTTCCGCTTGGGATTTTATTTATTTATTTTCTAATTAAAAACATTTTTAATAGGGGCTGGAGCAATAGCACAGCGGGGAGGGCGTTTGCCTTGCACGCAGCCAACCCGGGTTCGATTCCCAGCATCCCATAGGGTCCCCCGAGCACCGCCAGGAGTAATTCCTAAGTGCATGAACCAGGAGTAACTCCTGTGCATCGCCGGGTGTGACCCAAAAAAAGCAAAAAAAAAAAATTTTAATAGTGAGACATCATGAGGTATACAGTTGCAGACTTACACATTTCTGTTGCTCGGGTTTCACTTATACAATGGTCAAACACCCACCCCTCCACCGGTGCCCATTTCCCACCACCGCGGGTCCCAGTATCCCTCCCACCCCCCACCCCTGTCTCTGTGGCCCTCGCCCGCCTCGATCGTGCCCCGACCCGCCGAGCCTGGGCAGCCCGCGCCGCGGTGCACACCGGGACTTGTAGTCCGCGCGTGTCTGTCCCCCAGGAAAGCGCCCGTCCTCCGCGGCCCTAGTCGGGGCTGCAGAACCCCGAGCCCGAGGCGCTCCCCTCCCGCGGAGCACACCGGCTTCGAGCGCGTTCCCCCGGAGGACGCTCACCGTCAGAGGCCGCTGGTGCTGAGGCTGCGCCAGCGTCACGGTCCGCGGCCATGACGCCGCCCAGGCTGCTGGCGGAAACGCGGGACTTCCGCTTCTCCGTCCGGCGGCGCGAGCGGGGCGGGCGGGGCGCGGGGGCGGGGCCTCGGCTGCGGGGGGGGCGGCCGCGGCTCCCACTTCCGTTCAGACCTGCCGGGCCGGCGCCGAGGAGTGGGCGGGGCCTCGCTGGGAACCTATGGGCTGGCTCTGGAGTGACCGGAGCCACGCCCCCTGGCCGGAGCCACGCCCCTTACCGGAGCCACGCCCCCTGGAGTGCGTGTTGGCGCCGAGCGCGGGAGGCTTCGTCCCACGAGGTAATTTCTTCGCGTGCCCGGGCTGTGAACGTGGGTTTCCGCGTTCGGATGTTCACCTCGACACCTTTGGGGGGCTGTGCAGGCAAGGATTTCCGGCTGCCCGAGCACGCCCAGTAATTAGGCAGAGACGGGGCCAACGGGGGGTGGAAAAAAAAAAAGAGAATATTCTGGGATCGGAAGAGTTGGGATCGCTGCGTTCCGTGCAGTAAACCAGGCGGGAGAGGTTTCCTGCAAAAACTAGACGGCTTTTGAAATCATCCCGGCAAATGATGAGAGCTTGAGTCAAGGCCCCAGCAGGAGGCACGGTGAGGAAGGGAGAAACTGTGAGCAGTTTGGAGAGGGTGATGGATGACACGTGACCCCACCAGAAACATCATTTTCCCCAAACAAATCATTTCCTCTGATGCCACATCCCCGGCCCAAGTAGCCCCATCCTCTCTCCACTTGGCTATGAGTTCTTTGAGGTTCCTCTAACTTTAATTGGTTCTTTCATTGTCTGAATTTCACCATTGCTTTCCCCTTCCTTCCTGGCTCCACCCGGGGATTGCTCCTTCCTGGCAGTGCTTAGGGGACCATATGTGATGCAGGGGATCAAATGGTTGGTTGCGTGCCAGGTAAGCGCCTTAACTCTTGCTTTAACTTTCTGGCCTCTGTGTCGTTTCAATTTCTTCCATTCTACTACACCACCCCCACCGTTCTTTTTTTTTTTTTCCCCCTCCGCAGTTCTGGGGATCCAACCCAGGGCAAGTGCTCTGCCCTGAAACTGCATCCCTGACCCAAATTATATTTAAAGGAAAAAAAAAAAAGAAAACCCTTTACCAACTCTGTTCTGTTAATTTTATATCTATTATGTATAATTTACCTGGCTTAACTTGGCTGGAGCGATAGTGCAGCGGGTAAGGCGTTTGCCTTGCATGCAGCCTACCTGGTTGGCCCAGGTTCGAGTCCTACGCCCCTCTCGGAGAGCCCGGCAAGCTACCGAGAGTATCTCGCCCACACGGCAAAGCCTGGCAAGCCACCCGTGACGTATTCGATAATGCCAAACACAGTAACAAGTCTCACAATGTTACTGGGCCTGCTCGAGCAAATCGATGAACAATGGGAGGACAGTGGACATTGCTAACTCAGGGGACAGACTAGTCAAGAGACCTTTGCTCTTGAAGACTTTTACACTAATGTGGAGAAAGTGGACACTGAACAAAAATCACAAGTAAATGTGAAATACAGTTGACTTAAGAGCAACTATGGGGGGGGGGGTGGAGCAGTAGTCCAGTGGGTATGGCCTTTGCCTTGCACACAGGTGACCTGGGTTCCATCCCTCTCATCGGATATGGTCCACTAGCACCGCCAGGAATAATTCCTGAGTGCAGAGCCGGGAGTAACCCCTGAGCATTGCTGGATGTGACCCCCTCCCCCCCAAAAAAAAGAGCAAAAATGATGGGGCTGGAGCAAGTCCACTGGGTAAGGCACATATGTTCCTCACAGCTGATCCTCTAAGCCCTGCCAGGAGTGACCCCTGAGCACAGAGCAGGAATAAGCCCTGAGCATCTCTGGCTATGATCCAAACACACACACACATACACTCCAAAAGAAAAGAAAAAAACTGAAAAAAAAAAAAAACAGTACAGGAGAAGTACACTAAGAGAATAAGACACAGGGCCTGGTTTGGATGCTTAAATCAATACTTAAAAAATGAGTAAAAGAGGGGCTGGAGCAATAGCACAGCGGGTAGGGCATTTGCTTTGCACACAGCAGACCTGGGTTCAATTCCCAGCATCCCATATGGTCCCCTGAGCACCGCCAGGGGTAATGCCTGAGTGCAGAGCCAGGAGTAACCCCTGTGCATCGCTGGATGTGACCCAAAAAGCAAAAAAAAAAAAAAAAAAAAAAAGAGTAAAAGAGGGCCAAGGATATAATTCATTGGTAGAGTACATATTCCCCATCCCATGAAGCTGTGGGCTCCATCCTTAGCATGAAGTAAGAAAATAAGCAGACAAAAAGAATGAATAAATATAGGTAATGCACAGAAAAGCTCTCCAATTAAGAGAATTGACTTCTACTCTCAAAGGAAATCTGTCTGTATGAACCAGATTTCTCAGTGGCCTATGAGGTACTTTGTGATGCTATGCCCTTACCTCAACCTTTTCCTACTACTCACATGTTCCTTTTCCTATTCTATTCTAACCAACAGTTTCTTGTTCCACAAATACACCAGGCACGAAGAGTATTTGCACAACCTTCTTCCTAGGGCACCTTCCCCATAATTGTCCAGATGGCTGTCTCTTTCAATAGCTTTACATTTGCTTAAGAAAATCACTATTATTATTATTTTATATTTTTGCCCGTACCTGGCAGTGCTCAGGGGCTACGCCCTCTTCGCCGCTATTGGTGATATTTGGGGAATTAGTGATAATGATCCAATGTAAGCTTGCTTCTGTATGCAAAACATGTGCTCCAGTTCATTGAGTTATCTCTCTGGCCCTCAACTATCACTTTAAAAAGGCCTACCTCGGGGCTGGAGAGATAGCACAGTGGGTAGGGCGTTTGCCTTGCACGCGGCCGCCGATCCGGGTTCAATTCCCAGCATCCCATGTGGTCCCCTGAGCACCGCCAGGAGTAACTCCTGAGTGCAGAGCCAGGAGTAACCCATGTGCATCACCAGGTGTGACCCAGAAAGCAAAAAATAAAATAAAATAAAAAGGCCTACCTCGGGGCTGGAATGATAGTACGGTGGGTAGGGTTCTTGCCTTGCATGCAGCTGACCCATGAAGTTCACTTCAGGACTGCCAGGAGTGATTCCTGAGCACAGAGCATCACTGGTGTGGTCCCCAAACAAAAACAACAAAAAGAGCCTACCTCGACCACTTTCAAGTTGCAAAACTGGGGCCGGTGTTCTGTTCCTTACTGCTGTTCCCAAGTAAAATGAACAGGGTTGTGTCTGAGGACTAGAAAGCGAGTAATCATCCTAGGACTGAAACTTGGAGGAGGTCGGCAAGATAGTATAGCAGGGAAGGTGCTTGCCTTAAGACCTAAGTAGCGCCTGATGTGGTTCAAAAACAAGCAAAATCCAAAACTTCCTTCCCCACTCCGTGTGTGTGTGTGTGTGTGTGTGTGTGTGTGTGTGTGTGTGTGTCTGCTTTGAGCCACAGCTGGTGGTGTTCAGGGCTTACCCGTGGCTCTGTGCTTAAGAATCACTCCTGGCGGTGTTTTGGAGTCCATAAGCGGTGCTGGTGATCAAACCCGGGTAGGCTTTGTGCCAGGCAAACACCTTGATCCCTGTACTTTTTCTGCTCCCAACTACTTTTCCTTTTTCGGTTTGATTGGGCCATGCTCGGGGTCATGACTGGCGGTGCTGGCTTCTCCTGACTTTATGGTACGGGGACCATGGTGGTCTGAGGGATCAAATCCAGGCCTCCTGCCTGCAGACAAAGCATATATTCAGCCTGTTAAGCCAGTTGTCTTTCTGGCCTTGGAGAACTTGATCGAGAGGTTTTGCAAGGAGTTTGGTTTAGTAGAGAATAAAAGTACAGTCTCTGGAGGCAGACTTGGGGCTTGATGGGGCCAGGGTGATGGTAAAGCAGGTAGGGCATTTACCTTGCACACAGCCGACCTGGATTCGATCCCCGGCACCCCATGTGGTACCCTGAGCACTGCCAGGAATAATTCCTGAGTGCAGAGCCAGGGATAACCCCTGAGCATTGCTGGGTGTGACCTAAAATTAATTAAGCGTTAAGCATTAATTAATTCTGAGAACGTATGGAGATGCTCAGCCACTGCTCATACTTAAGCCCAAAAACAAAAACAAACCAACTTTTTGGGTTTGAGTGAACGAGTTGTTTAATCTTTATAAACCTTGGTTTCCTCATAACTAAAATGGAGGTAATCCTAGAAGGTGTTTCAAGGGAGTCTTTGGAAGAATGAGAATCTAGGAAAGCCTTATCATAGGGGGTTGGCAGTTTTAAGCGGATAGAGAAAAGGGGGCCAGAGTGTTAAAGGGGCCGTGAAGATTAACCAGTGCATTTTCTCTTTACTCAAGACCAGTGAGTGATAATTTACTAGCCCAGAGAAGATAAGAAATAAAAATATTTCATTTCCCTTCTCACTCCACTCCCAGCTTGCCATTTACTCTTAGATAAATCTTTCCCCTCTCTGATCCTTGATTTCTCCTTTTTTTTTTTTTGCTTTTTGGGTCACACCCGGTGATGCACAGAGGTTACTCCTGTCTCATGCACTCAGGAATTACTTGGGGAACCATATAGGATGCTGGGAATCGAACCCAGGTCGGGTTCGAACCCGCGTGCAAGGCAATGGCCCTACCTTCTGTGCTATCGCTCCAGCCCTGATTTCTCCTGTCTATAGGATGAAAGTTTGGGCTATAAGATTGTGAAAATCTTTTCAGTGTAATTGTGCAGTACCTCTTAGCACCCACTCTCATGCTCTCATCTAAAGAACCTGGTCTTGGCACCAGAACAATAATACAACAGCTAGGGGTTTTGCCTTGCATGCAGCCAACCTATGTTCGATCCTCGGCATCCCATATTATCTCCTGAACCCTCCAGGAGTGAATCCTGAGTGCAGGGCCAGGGCCAGGGGCCCTAAGTACCAAGTGTAGCCCCAAACAAACAGAAACAACCTGGTTTATGGGGTTGGAGAGATGGTTCAAGTGGCAGAGCACATACCTCGCAGCTGTGAGACCCTGAGTTTGACCCCCAGTATACATGCCTTTCCTCTCCTGCCCCCCAGAACTATCTCACCGCCGTTACCTGGAGTGTCCCCAACACCCTCAGTATCCTGGCTATGTCATATGTAGCTCCTATTAAAAAAAATCCTTGTCCCCATATAGTCACAGTAAGCATCAAGAATCCCCAGCTGTTCCCAAAGAGGAGGCTTTGTCCTTGTTCCAGGAAGGCCCTCATCTCTGCATACGTGGGTCCAGATCTGTACTAGAGCGAGACTAAGTTTAGTCCCCCTGAGGCTGTCTGGAGATGCTCAGCCACTGGTCATACCGAAGTGCCACAAGCAACCCCCCTGGAGAGCCCATGGGGAAAAAAAAAAAACGTATAAATGGTGTAGGGAAGGAGGTGGCTGTTCCTCTGGGGGCCCGCAAGATTCAGCGTTATTGTGACTGACCACTTTGCTGGGGTCCTTCTCTTCCAGGCCATCATGAAGAAGCCACACGCCGCTGTGGGAAGTCGTTGCAGGAAGCAGGCGTCCAGCCAGGAGAGGAGGAAGAAAGATGCCCTTCGAAGCATCCGGGCAAAGTCTTCAACCCCTGATGGTGAGGTGTTCTGTCAGTGCTAGTCAGAGATTGGGGGTCTGGTTTCATTGGTCCCCCAGGGTGTGGTTCAGAGGGGGAGGGGAGCATGGCACGCATCGAGGCATTAAGAGGCTAATGGAGCATCTGATTCTGAGTTGACTGTGGGACTTTGGTATAATTGTTCTGAATGACTGCTTGCTTTTTCTTGCTTCTGTTTGGGGCCACACCTGGCATTGCTTCAGAACCATTTCCCACTTCCGGTGGGGAGCATGCAGTGCCAGGGAATCAAACTTGCCAAGCAAAGCAAGTACTCCAGCCCTTGGAGCTGTTGCCCCAGATTCCCTCCCCTCACCCCTCATCCCCCCCGCCCCGCCCCTAATATCGGGGCCTTAGCCCGCAGTGCTGGGAAGGACCCGGGGCCTCATCCTGGACCTGATGGTGTGGTGCTTGGGCACCAGCAGTTGTCAGAGACCACCAGAGCCGCAGCCGGCAGTGCTGGTGGGGACGCAAGGCGGGTGTTGGCAAGCACCACGAGAGTGCTCTCCGGAGAACGGCTGTGTTCTTCCCAGTGAAGGGAACCGGTGTCGCCCAGTCTCCTCGGGTGGCCTTCAGGGGATCAAGGGAGATTGTCGGTTTCAAGGTGTTTTGTAAACAGGAAATACCTGCACAGGTTCATCTTATTCTTGGCAGAAACTACTGAGTTTCCACTATGGCATAGAGATAGATAAAAGTGCCAGCAGTACAACCCTGGGAAAAGGAAGGACAGATTTTTTTTTGGTGGGGTGGGGAGGGGGTCACATCCGACTGTGCTCAAGGCTTACTCCTGGCTCTGTGCTTAGGGATCACTCCTGGTGGGCACAGGGCAATTATGTGTGATGCTGGGGATCAAACTTATGCTGGCCACGTGCAAAGCAAATGACCTACCCACTGTATTGGCCTCAACTTAAAGAGCAGATTTCATGAGCACAGCCAGAGGACGCTGGTCTCATGCCCACCCCAGAGCTTATGCAGGGGTCTGGGGTGGGACAGGCTGCCTGCTCGTATTCCTGGTACACAGCCTGGCCATGGTCGAGCCTACATTTTCCGACCCTAGCAGACCTGGGCAAGCAGCAGAAGGCTTCTGTCTCTCCATACCATCTCTTCAGGGACCCAGCTGAGGTCACCAGCTTCCGGGAGCGTTTGCTGCGCTGGTATGACCAAGAGAAGCGGGACCTACCCTGGAGAAGGAGGGTAGGTCCACATGGCACAGGGATGGCGGGGTGGGAGTATGGCACCCCTCTGCCCCCGTTCCCACTCACTCCCATCTGGGGTTGCATTGGCAGGCAGAGGTTGAGGTGGACCCCGACAGGCGGGCATATGCCGGTGAGTCCATCTGCTTTACCTGGACACCCCCGGGGCTGGGTAGTCAGGAGCTCTGGGTTAGAGCAGGGTGGGGCAGCGGTGCCCTCATGCCAGCCCTTCTCCCGCAGTGTGGGTGTCAGAGGTCATGCTGCAGCAGACTCAGGTGGCCACTGTGACCGACTATTATACCCGGTGGATGCAGGTGACGTCGGGGAAGACGGGAGGCTCAGGGCCGCTCCCAGATGATGCCCTGCCCTTTGGGGGTGGGGGAGAGGAAGACTTTCTCCACCCCCTCACCTCACCCTCTCTGTTGTGGCTGTAGAAGTGGCCGACACTGCAAGATCTGGCCAGTGCTTCCCTGGAGGTGAGAGCCACCCTGGGTGCGGGGTGGGCACTGAGGCCCGACCGTTGACCTCTCTGAACTCTGCACCTTGCCCCCCGACAGGAGGTGAATCAGCTCTGGGCTGGCCTGGGCTACTACTCGAGGGGCCGACGGCTTCAGGAAGGGGCCCTGAAGGTCAGGGGGCCGCAGGGAGGGTGGGAGCTGGGAGCCTCAGGGGGTCAGTGGTCTGATACTTTCAGTGGTCAGTTGTCTCGAGCTTTCTCCCCCCAATCAGGTGGTCACAGAGCTGGGGGGCCACATGCCACGCACAGCGGAGGCCCTGCAGCGAGCACTGCCCGGCGTGGGGCGGTACACAGCTGCCGCCATCGCCTCCATAGCCTTCGGCCAGGTGAGCACAGAACCCATCCCTGCTTCGGGCAGGGCAGCCACCCTCCTTCCTGCCACGCTCCTGCTGCCTCCTGACGCTTCTGTGCCAGGCAGCCGGTGTGGTGGATGGCAACGTGATCCGGGTGCTGTGCCGCGTCCGGGCCATCGGTGCGGATCCCAGCAGCACCACGGTGTCCCAGCAGCTCTGGTAGGTGATAGGAGCGTTGGGGTGTGATGCCGGTAGGGGGAAGGGCCTGCAGAGTGGCCTTGGCTCATAGTAGTCCTCCCTTTCTGTAGGAGCCTGGCCCAGCAGCTGGTGGACCCAGCCCGGCCCGGGGACTTTAACCAAGCTGCCATGGAACTGGGGGCGACCGTGTGCACCCCACAGCGCCCGCTCTGTAGTCAGTGCCCCGTGCAGAGCTTGTGCCGGGCATACCAGAGGGTGAGTCAGCTGAGAGGGGGCAGTCTGGGGTCTAAGAGAGCGGCCTTGTGACACCCTGCTCTGTGCCGCAGGTGGAACTAATGCAGCTCGCAGCCCCCCCTAGCCAGCCAGGTGGTCCTGATGTGGAGGAGTGTGGTGAGTGGAAGCCCCCATCCTTTCTTGCACTCCCCATGCCCGTTCCTTCGGCGTGTGAGGCTGCAGAGCCGGGCGAGGGCCTGCTCCCAGCTCATCACGGAAGCCCCACGGCCTGAGTGGGGTCCGGGGATGTCTGTTCTCAGCGTCCATCCCTGGGCAGTGTCTGCTGTGTGCGCCTCCCACGGAGCCCTGGGACCAGACCCTGGGCGTCGCCAACTTTCCCAGGAAGGCAAGTCGCAAGCCGCCCAGGGAGGAGTATTCTGCCACCTGTGTTGTGGAGCAGCCCGGAGCTCCTGGGGGTGCCCGGATTCTGCTCGTTCAGAGGCCTGACTCAGGTACCTGGACTCTGTTTAGAGGGCCCGTGGCAAATGCAACCAGTCGTAAGTTCGGGCCCCCCCAAACGGCTGCCCTCTCGCTCAGGGCTGCTGGCCGGACTATGGGAGTTTCCATCCGTGAGTGTGGAGCCCTCGAGGCCGGGGGAGCACCAGCGCCAGGCTCTGTTGCAAGAACTGCAGGAGTGGGCGGGGCCCCTGCCGGCCACCCGCCTCCAGCACCTGGGGCAGGTGAGTGAGCAGAGAGGCCCGGCAGAGGGCTCTAGGGGCCACTTGCACCAGCTGCAGCCTTGGACTGTCCCCCCAGGTGGTGCATACCTTCTCTCACATCAAGCTGACTTACCACGTTTATGGGCTGGCCCTGGATGGGCAGGCCTCAGTGACCGTCACGACCCCCGGCGCTCGCTGGCTGACCCGGGAGGAGTTCCACACCGCCGCCGTCTCTACTGCCATGAAAAAGGCACCACTTTTCTTGTGTTTCCCACGTTTGAGAACATCTGAGAAATTTTTTGGCTCAGGGGTGGGGGCAGGCACACCTGGCAGTGCTGGAGGGTGGGTCAAGCAGGGTTGAGGATTGCCCGAGCAAAGCGTGTGCCCCAGCCCTAAAAACGCACATTTGAAACAAAGCGCTGGGCATGCACCTGAAGACAACACAGGGGTGTGGCGCTCAGGGGGAGAAGCCAGCCCTTTGCTCTCCCCTCCTGGCTAGGTGTTCCGTGTGTATGAAGGCAATCTGCCAGCAACCTGCAAGGTGAGTCACGTGACCCTCTCCCAGCCTCTTCCCAGACCCAAATTCAGGAGACCTCGAGGTACATGACACGCATTTGAGTGCATGTTCTCCACACCAGGCTTCACTGGGGGCTATGGGAGAGGAATAGATCTTGGCATTTCCAGTGGAGAGGGAAGAAGAGCAGATGATGGAGACGTCAGTGTTCTCACAGCTGTGTGAAATGCTTGTAACGGGTTACGTGGGGTAGAGGACGAGGGGAAATAGCTGTGTCTGGAAATAAGGACCTGGAAAGACTAGGAAGCAGTTGATAATTGGAGTGCTGGAAATGAGTTTTCCAGACTTGGGAAGGGAATCAGCAGTAAGGGTGTCCTTCCCTAGTCTACAGGTCTCAGGTATTGAAGGGGCTGTGAGCCGGGGGTTGGGGCTGGGGTGTGGGCTGGAGCTGGCGGCAGGGCCTGCCCAGGCCAGTCAGGACCATGACAAGCCACGCAGGCATTTCTGGTAGAGGGTCAGATTTGCATTTTTGGAAGATTACCTTGGTCTGCCTTTCAGTTTATCCAGGGAGTAGAGACTGGAGACATGCTGGGAACTTTCCAAGCTGGAACCTGAGCTGGGCCAGTGAGGGGAGGAGTGGAGGGCGGATTTCTCTGCGGCCTTTCAGCTCTCCCTTTCTTTGGCTTTTGTCCAGGGCTCTAAAAGACACCAGCTGTCCACTCCATGCAACCGAAGAAAGCCCAGCCCAGGCCAGCAAGTCCTGGATCATTTCTTTCAGCCCCAGAACCACACTGATGCACCCAGCCTTAAAAGTACTGCCCAGTGATGTTTCTGGATACCTCCAACTCCTGCAAACCCCGTTTTTAAATAAAGTGTCTATTTTTGTAGTAATTTTTGAAGTTTACCTTTCCCTTCCCCCCTCACCCTGCACCTCTGAGAGGGGTCTGAAAATAAGTCCTGCTTTCTGCTGACCAAGCCAGCCTAGCCCCGGGCCAACCCTGGGTGAAGGAGCGCCCGGGTGTCCTGGAGAAAGGGAGAAGCAGCTGCAGGGAGGCCCTGCCAAAGGCTGACACCTAACACTGTGGTCCAGGACCCGGTGGTGGCTCTGATTGGAGCAGTGCCATCACCCCAGAGCAGGTGGCCGACTCCGCCCCTCCTACCTGCAGTGGGAAGCCAGATGGATCTGCTAAGTCTGTGACCTCAAACAAGCTGTTTATTCAGGGTTATGTTAACGATACAGAACAGCAAGGAGTTAATAATAATAATAATAAGGCTGGGATGCGGCGTGGAAGGAAAGAGGACCAGAGAGTACAAGGAAACTTCAAAAGTGCTGCATCTGGGGCTGGAGCGATAGCACAGCGGGTAGGGCATTTGCCTTGCACGCAGCCGACCGGGTTCGATTCCCAGCATCCCATATGGTGCCCTGAGCACCGCCAGGAGTGACTCCTGAGTGCAGAGCCAGGAGTAGCCCCTGTGCATCGCCGGGTGTGACCCAAAAAGAAAAAAGTACTGCTTACGTCCTAAAGGCGTGATTCCTTTATTCTTGCATCTATTTTACAGACTGTATGTAAGAAATTGTTTCAACAAAACCCCACCTCCAGACTCCAGGAAGAGAATCTTGCTCCTGGCAGGCACCCGCGAGGTGCTGGTCTCAGGTGGCCCCTGGGGTCGGTCGTCATAGCCTTTCCCTCCGGCAGGTCTTTCAGTGGCAGTGAATGGGCGCTGGGTGTCCCAGAGCTCCAGGATCGGCGGCCGCACCCAGCTCAGGCTTTCGGGCTGCGGGCGGCCTGCTCCTGCACGGACTGCCACAGGGCCCTGATGTTGCCCTGGCCGAAGCCCGTGGCGCCCTGCCTCTGGATCAGCTCCAGGAAGAACGTGTCCTCGGCGAAGAGGGACTTGGTGAAGACCTGCAGCAGGAACTGGCCTTCCTCGCCGTCCAGCAGGATGCCCTGCCTGGCCAGCTGGCGGGGCTCGTGCCCCGCAGCTCGGATCTGCCTCTCCTTGCCCGGCTGCTGGTAGTAGGCTTCGGGAGGGGCCAGGAGGCGGCCCCCGGCCCCCACCACCCCCTCCGCAGCCCCCACGATGTTCGGCGTGTACAGCCCCACGTGCTGGAGCCCGGGGCCCCCGTGCCTGGCCAAGAACTGCTCCACTTGGTCCGGTTCGCCGGCGCCCCCGGGCAGGGACTCGGCAAGCACGAGGGTGGGCGCGGCGCAGCCCGGCGGGGCCCGCAAGGCGGTGAGCCGGAGACCCCCGCGCCCGGGCCCGGCGGACACCTCGAGGCCCAGCTCGGGGTCCTCGCCCGGGCTCAGGGGCAGGTGGCGAAAGTCCAGGCAGTCGCGGAACCAGCGCGCCAGTGCGGGGGTGCTGCCGGGGGCGCAGGCCACGGTCAGGTGGTCCACGTGGCTGACCCAGCCCGGGCCGGGCGCCGAGGCCACGGGCGCGAAGCCGGGCAGGACGGGCCCGCGGACGCCGGCGCGGTCCAGCAGCGTCAGGCTGAGGTTGCCCGCGGGCGAGCCGATGACCGCGTAGGTGGCCGCGCCCTGCGCGTCCCGCACGTGGACCGGCCGCACCCGCACGGGGCAGCCGCGCGCGGCCAGCGCCCGGGCGGCGGCGCCGGCATCGGTGACTTCGAAGCACAGGCCGGCGGCGCTGGGCACGGCGTGGCGCGGGTCCGAGCCGTAGAGCGGCCGGGCGGGCCCCGCGCCCTCGTTGACCAGGAAGACGGCCTCGCCGCTGCCCAGGGCCAGCTGCCGCCAGCCGCCCGCCTCCCGCGCCGCCAGGGGCCGGAAGCCGAAGTGGCGCTGCAGGTCGCGGGCCAGGGGCTGCCCGGCCGGCACGTGGAAGGCCACGTGGCACAGGCGGCGGGCGGGCACGGCCATGGCGGCCCGGGGGCGCTCCCACCCGGCCTCCCACCCGCGTGTCGTCGGGAGCCGGGCGGGGGGATCGTCTCGCTCGCGGGGCGTGCTCCTCGCTCCTCACCTCCGCGGAGAAGGCACGCACCGACCCCTAGCGGGATCGCGCTGCTCGCCGCCGCGCCGCCGCGCACTCGAGCTGGGGCCCCAGGCGCGACCCCCAGGAATGAACCGCAGGCAGGCGCCGAGAAGCGCGCGGAGCCGGGGCCGGGGCGGGGCCGGGGCCGGGGCGGGGCCAGCAGGGGCGGGGCCTGAGGGGACGGGGCCAACAGGGGGCCAGCAGGGGCGGGGCCAGAGGGGAAGAGGCCAGCGGGGGCGGGGCCAGAGGGGATGAGGGCAGCAGGGGCGGGGCCAGAGGGGACGGGCCAACAGGGGGCCAGAGGGGCGGGGCCAACAGGGGCGGGGCCAGAGGGGATGAGGCCAGCAGGGGCGGGGCCAGAGGGGATGAGGCCAGCAGGGGCGGGGCCAGAGGGGCGGGGCCAACAGGGGCCAGAGGGGGCGGGGCCAACAGGGGGCCAGCAGGGGCGGGCCTGAGGGGCGGGGCCTGAGGGGTGGGGCCCGTGGCCCCGGCTGACCGGCTCCATCCCCGCAACCCACGTCCCACCCTGGGGCCCCTGAGTCTCGGGAGCTACCGCGGGGACGCGGGGACGCGCCTTCCCAGGGCCTCTGACCCCGTCAGTCGCATGAACCATTCCTTCAGTCACAATAGCTGCCTTTTTTCTCTCAGTGCCCAGGCTTGGTTTCTCAACTCAGCCCCCCCAACCTCAGTGCAAAGGGAATCAGCCCCGTTTGGGAGACAAGCCCAAATTCTCCCTCCTCAAGCACTGAATTTCCTAGCAACATCCTCTTTTAGCTTTAAAAAAAAAAAAAACCCGGAGAGGGAATGCAACAATTGTACAGTGGTTAGGGCATTTGCCTTGCACGAGGCCGACCCAGGTTCCGTTCCCTGGCATTGACCCAAGCATTGACAGAAATAATTCCTGAGCGCAGAGTCAGGAGTAATCAAGTATTGCTGGATGTGCCCCCATTCCCACCCCACCAGCCGCAAACAAAGATATTCCAAGAAATTCGCTTTTGTCCTAACAGTCCTTTAAAACATTAAAAAAAAATTCATTAAGATGCACTGTTTCAAGTTTTCACTCCCCACAGTGATGGAAAGAAACTTCTGCTAAGGAAGGTAATCTATATGGCTTCTACGAAGTCTCTTTCTTGGGTAGATCTCAACTAATCCCTCTCAACATCTTGAACCCTGAGCCAAGCGAGATCTGGGAGAAAACAATGGACTCAGGACTTGAGCAGCTGCAGGGGCCTCCCCTCCCCGACTTTTCTAGGACCGAGACTCAGGTTTTCCTTGCTCTTGGCAGCATTCTCACTGAGTCGTGGGCCAGAGTGTTCACAGGGTGTTTCTAGTCTTCAGACCCTAAATTGTGAGATCACTGGATTGAAATTTTTAAGGCATTTTCTGTGATTTAGGCTGGTGAAGAGGTTGAACGGTTGGAACGGGCCTTCTGGGAAGGTCAAACAGCTAAAGTCAAAGGTCTGGAATGTGAGCCAAACTCTCAGAGAACAATGGAGCATACTCAAGGGGTGGGGGAGGGGTTTAGGATAGATACCGGGCTGGAGCGATAGCACAGCGGGTAGGGCGTCCGCCTTACAAGCGGCCAACATGGCCGACCCGAGTTCGATTCCTCCACCCCTCTCGGAGAGCCCGGCAAGCTACCGAGAGTATTCGATATGCCAGACACAGGAACAACAAAGTCTCCAATGGAGACGTTACTGGGCCCGCTCGAGCAAATCGACGATCAACGGGAGGGCCTTTACCTTACCTTTACCTTTACCGGTTGTCCAAGGCATTGCAAAAGAGTTTGTCTCTGGCTGAGAGTTGAGTTTCACGGGCAAGAGGTTAGGATGTGGAGCCAGAGAGATAGTACAGTGTGGAGGTCTTGCCTTGCACATGGCCCACCTGGATTCCATCCCTGGCACCCCATATGCTTCCCAAGCCACGCCATTAGTGCTTTCTGAGTACAAAGCCAGGAGTAAACCCTGACCTGACCACTGCTGGGTACAGCCAGAGAGAGAGACAGACAGACAGACAGACAGACAGACAGAGAGGATAATCAAGGGGGTGGGGGATGTTGGTGGGGTGGGAATAGGAGTTAGAAAAAGACGAGTTCTTGTGCTGGGTAAGGCTCTTGACTTGGCAGTCTATCTGGATTCGATCTCTAGCACTGCATATGATGTCCTGAACACCACCAGGAATGATCCCTGAGTACAGAACCAGGAGTGAATCCTGTGCACTGTCAGAAGTGGACCTGTAACAAAACCAAACCCCAAGCTAAGGAAGAGTTCCGGCTGGATGTATATTAATCAGATCAATGTACTAGGCAGCCGGGAGGGTAGTACCTAGGTTTTACTTTGCAGACCAGTGGATTTGTTTGAAAGTTACCACCAGCACTTTCTAGCTGTATGGCCACGAGTTGCTTAACTTATCTGAGCCCTCGTTCCCCCATTTGTAGAAATGGAAAATGGAGGTGGCTGTGATTCAATAAAAGCTGCAGCCAGAGAAAGGATCCAGGTTGTAGCCTGTTAATCTGGGCCTGACTGCTGGGGGTCAAGGCCCGGTGTCACAGGAGTCAGCAGTAAGACGGGGAATGAGAGGTACAGAGGGGCTGCGCCTCCCCAGGCTGGTAGACCCTGGGGAAAGGCTATAGGAAAGGGTTCTTCTGCTCACAGGTTTTTACCCCAGCTATCCAGATCACGGTCGGAAGCCACCAGTTCTGGTGCTCACGGCCCCGGATCCAGCCTTGCAGGGCTGTGCTCAATAAACAGAAACAGAACAGGCGCCCCCGCCCCCCAAAACCCCAGCCCCCCATCATGTCCCACTGCTGGGAACATCGCTGCAGGGCAGGTCAAAGGAGTAGCTTGACCGTGACCCGGGGCTGGCTGGGCTCTGAATGGACCCGCTGGGAGTGCTCGCGGGTCTCCACGGGATGCTGTCACCCTCGAGCCAGATGCCCCCTCCTGCATTTCGGACAGCTGTAGGTCCCCCTCCAGTTCCTGCAATTTGGAGACGGGTCCTCCCAGCTGGCGCTGGCCCCTGGGTTTTACTTTGCAGACCAGTGCGGCTGGGGGTGCTGGAGGTGAGGGGGGGATGCTCGGAGCCGGCGGCCCCTGGAGGTCGGAGTGACCTCCAGGCGGGTCGGGGCAGCAGCCCGGGCAGCAGAGCGGCGGCGCGCGGAGGCTCTCGGCCCGCACCGCGCTCCTGCATCCCCCGCGAGCCCGCGCCCGGCTTCCGCGATCCGCACCTGTCCCCGCGCAAAGGTGACCCGGCCCGGACCGCGCCTCGGGCCTTCCTGGCCGGCCCCTCCCTGCCCCGCACCGCCGCTCCCCACCCTGGGGCTCCGGGAAGGACCCACGGGACCTCCCGGAGGCGACTGGAGAGCAAGGGAGGGAGGGAGAGGGAGGGAAGGGGAAAGAGAGAGAGAAGAGGAGAGAGAAAGAGAGGAGGGAAGGGAAGAGCGAGCCAGCGGGAGAGGAGAGAGTTTTAAACCTTTTCCATGAGTGTTTTGTTGTGTGTGTAGTGTGTGTGTGTGTGTGGGGGGGTGTAAATACACATTTCCCACGTGAATACTCAGTATGCAGTTCATGTTTTTTTTTTTTTTTTGCTTTTTGGGGTCACACCCGGTGATGCACAGGGGTTACTCCTGGCTCTGCACTCAGGAATTACCCCTGGCGGTGCTCAGGGGACCCTATGGGATGCTGGGAATCGAACCCAGGTCGGATCTATGTGCAAGGCAACCGCCCTACCAGCTGTGCTATCACTCCAGCCCCAGTTCATGGTTTGAAGGACCTTCATATGGTGTTACCTTCCGCACCATCCACTAAAGAACTCTTCCTCTCTCCCAAGGGAAACTCTGCACCCCCTAAGTAGCTCCCCGGTCTCCGCCCTGGCCAGCACACCTCACGGGTTTTGGATTTTGACGATTCTCCATAGTTTATAGAAGTAGAATCACTCCAATGCCTGTGAACCGGCTTATTTCATCGCACGCGCTGCCTTCCTAGGTCAGAATTTTCAGGTGACTTTGACTTAATTCGGGAAGGAAATGAGGGAGCAGGAGCAATATGTGCTCAGGCCCTGGGTCAGGGCAGTCGGTAGAAGAAAGGAAGAGAGCAGTGAGGCGCCGAGATAAGAATTTTCCTGTACTGCCTTTCACTGTGAGCAGGGACTGAAGTCCACATCTGCACCCAAGCCTGGGTTGGTGGGAGGGCAGACTAGAGAGGCTAATAAAAAACTTGTGGAGTCAAACCCTGTCTGAAAGGAACCCTTCCCCCCTTCCCCCCACCCCCCTCCACCCGCCAAAAAGGTTCCCTGGGCACCTTTGTTGACAGGAAGATTGAGTAGGAGTTGGGAAGGTGAGGGGCTCTTTTCAGTGGGAGGGCACTGCTTACACAAAAGCCTGACTACATTTGGCCCTGAGCACTGCCAGGTGTGGTGTGGCCCCAAGACCAACAACAGAAGGAGAGAAAGAGGAAGAGGAGGAAGAGGAAGAAGAGAAGGAGGAGGAGAAATTAGGAGTAGAAGGTGGGGGGAGAGGTGGGGAAATTGCCTCACTATTTCTCCCAAAGGCTCAGGAAGATCGTGCTCCTTTGAGATGCAAATGGAGAAAATTCCTCAGCCCAGATGTAGAAACCACCCAGAGAAGGATTGACCTCTCAGAAATGGAGAGGCTTGGGGAGAATCTTAATGTTGTGATAATTATGAAAGGGGTTGGAGATCTGGAGATACAGTACTGGGGTCAAGGCTCTTGCCTTGAATTGGCCAACCTCATTAGATCCCAGGCATCTGGCTTAGGACCCCAGGGTGATCCCCGAGTACATAGCTGTGCGCCCCCTTCTCACCGCCAGACACACACACCCGGACTGGGACAATTCAGACCTGTGCACATCTTCCAGGATGTGAGAGGAAATCAA